AAATATGGGGGTTTTTGGTTATTTATGAATTTGATTTTTAATTTTGATATATAATTTTGTTTCTTAAAATTATTTATTTTTGAGATAATATTTGTTAGAATTTTATTCAAAAATTAATCTGGTAGTTATTTAGTTATAATTATAATCTAAATCATTAATAATAGTGTTAACCTCGTAACACAAAATAGGGATTTTTGGTCATTTTACTGTAAATGCATCCATATATAAGTACAAAAATATCAAACGAACATATTTGTTTCCAAATACAATTTCTGGATGCATAAACCAAAAACACAAAAGTACATCATCTGGATATTGCGTCTAGGTACTGCATATTGATGTTGCATCTAGATATTGCGTCCAGACACGCAAACGAAGTATTCACGACATTAGAGAGATAATTGGTTTCATAAGAACATAGAGGGCTCAAAGTATGGTGGACAAAGATCAAGCTTCAGCAGAAAACAAGCTTGATGCTCATTACCAAACTTGAAAACTAGGCCTATCTTTTTTCAAGACGGATACAATTTGTTACAATTCATGTAACAAATTGTATTGGATATTTTTATATGCAAGTAACGGAATTACGATCCTAATTATGTAATCCAAAAGCGCTACTTCAACTATCAATTTTTTTTTGAAAAAAATAAAAAAATATGTAGTTTTTCACGTTTCGTTGTTTTTTTTTAATAAGATGAATCTAAAGCATAAGGGTTGCATCTATGTGCATGGAATTTCTTGTTTGGCTTTTCCGTTTAAAAACTTGTTGATGCTTCTTTGACTTGACACCCGATTCTATTATATTTTACTTTAAATGAAACTAATCTTCTCGTTTAGGTACTTGAAATGCATTTTTCGTAGAAAACATTTGGGTATTCTTCAGGATAGTTTTCCACATTTTCCGAGAAAAAACTTCTTCCAAACCCCTAATTGTTTGTTTGAGTGATGTCTTTACACATAAATTTTTTTGTAAGAAAGAAACAGTGGCAAGCTTAATTATGATTTAGTCGATTAACTACGGCTATTCTTTTCGAGACAGGTACAGAACAGGTAACAAATCGGCTACTAATCAATCGAATTAGTGCAAAACCGATTATACTAGCTGCAATTGTAACAATCGTAGAACAAAGAAATGCAGTTGGGCTTCGAAACAAAATGTACTAAACCACAAAACATGGCCACATTAGAAAACGACAAAATTTTATAAGAAAAAATAATCAATCTAACTTTTCTTCCTCCACAATGTCTCTCCTCTATGATATCTACAAGTTCGACAAGTTAGATAACGCCAAAAAAAGAAAAGATAACGACTTAAAGTTGTCGTACAGTCCAAAAATTTAGAGTACTTTTATACAACAAATATCCAATAACAAACAAGTCTACTTCCCACTTCTTCCACAATTTTTTATTTTATTTTTATATCAACGAAGCTTGACGATTCAAATAAACATGCTTGATAATGATGTTTAAGGCAGATAAAAACTAAAGC